AACTCGTGGGACTCAGCTGGCATTACTATTGTTTTAGATTCTTTGCTGGCAGTATTTAGTATTTACTACAGTTTCCGCCCCAAAAGTCAGAGGGTTTTTTTTTATTCTTTTTTCCTTTTCCCATTTCTCAAGGTCTTTTTCTTTATATCTGAGAAGAAAAGAGAAGAATTGGAAAAAGGAAAAACTTCCACTATCAACCCCAAAATTTTTATAAAAAAAAAATCAATTTAACAATCAAATTAAAACTAATCAATCATCTCAATAAAATAAAAATAAAAAAAATAATTTCACTAAAAGGATAGTTATTTTCTTTTGATTTATTATTTTGGAATACTTATTTTACTTTTAAAAGAAATATATATCTCTCTAAAACCCCCCACATGCAAGAGCAAGCCATTTCAATAGAAACATTAAATTTAACAACTCTAAAGAATGGTAAAAGTTAACGTTACTCTGAACAAAAAAAAGGGGTCAAAATTCAAAAAGGTTGCAACTGGGGTAAAAAAAAAACAATTCTTTTTATCCATACAAAAAAAGTACAATCCGCACAAAGAACACACTACAAAACAATTTTCTCTTATCTAGTTAATCTAATACTATCTTGTTCTTGTTTGTTTTTCACCCGGTCCGTACAAAGATATAGAACAAAAAAAAGGAAAAAAAAGGAGAGAACTCCAAACTTTCAAGATAGAAGTTTTGAGTGTGGGTATTCTAAATTCCAATCCTTAAGTAAAAGACAAGGGATTTAAAAGTTACATATTTAGATCTTAAAATAAAAGAGAGGAGTTCTAATTTTTTTAAAAAAATGGCATTTTATACTCTATTATATATATATATATAACTCACAATTAAATCAAAAAGAAAAAAGGAACCTTTCCGATGGGACATCGAAATGCATGCATGCAGATTGAGGAACAAAAAAAGAAGAAATTAAACCATTAAATCTAACCCCAAAAAAACCAAAAATGAAAACCGAGAAATGATGAGAAGAACCAATGCATGCGGATAAATATATAGACAGAGCAACCAAACAAGAAAAACAAAAAGAAAAAAAAAAAGAGGAAATGTGTTGGAACGTGTTTGGAAGAAAAGAAAAGGGAAAGGGGGAAAAATAATTAATTTAGTTGTTAATTCTACAAAGTGGGTATATTAGTGTTTGTGTTTTTACTTACCAGATATTGCATGCTGCTGCTGCTGCTGCTGCTGCGGCTTCTGCTTGTGAAAACGATTGAAGCTGTGATCACCTCCACGTTCCATAGTAGAAAAAAAAAAGAAAAAAAAACCCTTTTTTTTCCCCTATCCCTCCAAATGGATCAAAAACAATACCTGTTGTGTTTATTGAAGTATTTTATTTTTGATGTATGTGGGTGTGGGGGAAGAGATATATGGTGAGATGGATGGATTTTGTTTTGTTTTATATTGTTATAGGAAATGAGAAATAAAGGTGGGGGTGGGGGCGTTTTCCACGAGGAGGACCGTCTCTTTGATTGGGCAAAAGGAACTGGACTTTATTTTGGGGGGGAGGAGTGGGGATGGGACTAGCAGGTTGCCGGTCAACCTATTCTTCTTCTTCTTCCTCTGCTCTGCTCTGTGTCTTTTGTGTTTTTGACATGAGTCAAAACTTTAATTCTTGTCTCCATTTTTATTGTGTATTTAATATTATGCACAGCTGCATTGAAGTTGGAGAAGAAATTTAGTAGTCGTAGTGGTGTCTTCAATTTTTTTGGTATTATACTTATATTGCTTAATTAATACGAGTAAGCAATTTACATTTCTTAACACTTTTTTTACTTAATTATAAGTGGCCATTATCTAGATTAGAGGAATTATTAATTTTTTATGTATATTTTTTTTTGTACATTTAATTATGGATTATATAAAAAAAAATAACTCTCCTCTATTCATAAATCCCTTCCCACTTAACTCAAAATTTGAATTTGAAATCTCTAACTTAAAATCTCAAACTCTTAACCATTGAAGTGATTGAACCACTCCATTAAAATTATAATTTTTTAGGTATATATTTAAAATTAATAACATACTTAAGTTGAGAAAGATAAAGAAGAGAAAAAAAATACTTATTTGCTTATAAAAAAATGAGGAAAAAAGAAAAAAAAATTTATTTACTTTATTTTTTCTTTTAATTTAATAAATTATCCAAATAAGAAGAGGAGAAAGAAAAAGAGAGGCGAAGGGAATAATAAAATGTGACCCTCCTTCCTTTCCCTTCCCTTAATTTTTTTCAACTTAAATATAAGATTTAAATATAAGGTAAGTATCCTATCAAAAATATATATATAAGGTAAGTACCTTTAAATTAGTTTATATATAAGGTAAGTATCTTTAAATCAATTTATATATACTTCAGGATTAATGAGGAACTAATAATGAGAGTGTTTGATAAAACTTTAAAAATACTATTCATATCTCACAAGTTTAAAATTTTATTTAAGAAATATCCAAAAAAATTTTAAAACGGGTTCTAACCAAGTTTTAAAAAAAATTTAAATATATAACTCTCTTAAAAGTTATTTAAAATTCACTTAAAATTTAATTTTATTTATTTTTTTCAAACAAAATTTTAAATTTATGAAAATAATAATAATATTTTTTCTAGCAACCAAACACCCTCAATATGTTAGAAGCCGTTCATTAAAAAAGATAGGTTAAAAGATGAGAACTAGTCTTACCCCCATACATTAAAATTTCACAATATAATTACATGATAATAAACAGGTAAATATATATATGGACTCATGCTTTCATCTATTGAATATGATCAGTTAACGACTTAAGTAACTCAATGATTATCTCTTTTTGTTAAAAATAAGAGGTCCTAAGTTCAAATCGCATGGCATACGAGTGAGGTGAGATAAGAAACGAGAGATGATTACCTCCCATTGTGCAATCAAGATAAAAAAAAAAAAAAATGAATATGATCAATTATACTTACGACCCTAACTCAAAGAATTGTGATGATTAGGATCCTCTGTCATTAATAATTTTTCACTGAGGAAGCAACTAGGAAGTAGTAGACCTTCATCACAAAATCAATCAATACTTTTGCAGCAATTATCGAATCCAATTAAAACAGTACAGTAACAAGCTTTATAAAAGGATCAAACAGATAAGTAGTTAAAAAAACTAAACATAGAATAACCCATGCAAACGGGCTACATATCTTTTAGAATAATAATAACAAAGATCAAACTCCAAAGTAACAGTATGAAGATCAGCCGCTAACATTATATTTTGTCCAAAGACAAAATATAAAGAACAAGATTTCCCTAGCCATGCATAATTGCATACTCAAACTGAGGAGACTTGAGTGTTAATATCTAACAAAATTCACTCAATCCCCGTATTTTATACTGTTTTTCCGATAATAGCATAGTAGCATATATACAGACACCAGAGAAGGAGGTATACGGACCTCTATGATCTTGGCTTTCGCTTGCGTGACCGCTTCCGGGATGTTCCACTTCCATTCATGCTTTCTTTTTGCAGCTTCACTGCCTTCACATCACCATTACTTGAATGATAATCAAATGCTTTAACATTTGTAACAATAGCATGGACAGTGATCTCGGTTTTGGGAGATAATGTGGCCTTTCTTTCAATAACTTCAGTCTGTCCAGAGCAGGAACCTTGAACCGCCATATCTCGTAACTTCTGAAATATGACATCTTTATCATGCTTAAAACATTCACTTGAAGCCTGCACAGAGATAAGGAACATATTTGTAGCAGTTCTACATTAGGATGCAACAATTAAATAAACACTTGAGAAGGGATAAGTAACCTTTTTCTATAATCTCAGTTTCTCACCTCAAAATCAAAAGGGGTTGTAATTTGGGTGTATAGACAACCACACCCATCACTGAAATTGAGTTTCAAGAAAATTTTAAATGTTTCTGTCCTTCCAGTTCTCCTGCACGCACAAACAAAGATATGAGGAAGAAGTGGATACCATTTTTAGCTAGGATTGGAAAAAAAAAAAAAAAAAAATCTTCATTATAAAATAAGACTAGGACAGAATGCAAGTAATTTTATGAAGTTCCATTCTAAACTCATATTGATATAGGATGTTCAAGATTGTGTTCAGCCAATAATAGGTCTGTTCCGTCATGCATTGGTTTTAAACTCCCAAACAGAGCTCATAAACAATAAACTGCACTATCAAATTTTAACTAAATGAAAGCCAACAACTAACTGTATTCTCTAATCTGTATATTCAGAGTCCCAGCAGAGGAATAGGATGAAGGTTACCTTTTAAGCTGAAATGGCTCTTTAATTATAAAAGCTTCTTTGTACTTATGATTGTCTGAGAAGGAAACCTGGACCAAAACAAAAAGCATCATAAAACTATGCCAAACAGAAACAAGAAGATTTTTGCAGCAAAAATCTTAAACTAGGAGTTCAGAATATAATTCCACCTCAATAGACTTAACGAAAGGCAATGGAGCACTCAGTCCATGAACACTGGTCACACGAATATTCCAATTTACATATTTTTCATCTGTAATTCAAGCAAAGGAGCTGTGTGATGAAACATTAAATCATAGGCACATAGCCTTGAATGATTACAATAAAATGTACACCGATATTCAATATATGGCATATTACCTGCACTAAGAGATTTACTTAGGATTGTCTGGAAAAGATCAATCCTGATATATGGAGGAATCCGTAAATTAAGCAAGTTCATAACACCTGCAATGACCTGTGCATGTTCAAGTTAAAACGAATCAGTCTACATTATTGTGCAAATGTATTATGCTACCTCTGCCACTAGTTAGATTTCACACTGTGACACTGTTGCAAATGTTTAACTTTGCCACCAATATATAATTTGCAGTTTCAATTAGGTTTAAAGAAAATTTGTGGCAGAAACAAATATAAACCTAATTGGAAATTAGTAATTATTTTAATAATGGAAATCAGCATATTAATCTCAGTAAATGAATTACCACAAGCAAAGCACAATACTTACAGCATTAAACGGTGAAAAAGGTTCAACATGTCCAATAAACAGTAAATTAAGGTTTATTACAGTACCTTGTCTACAAATCCATGAATCACTAAACTTGCTTTCTTGTCCTTTGGAGTTTTCTGTAAGATTGAAAAAGAGAAATATTATTGACCCCAGACTTAGAACACCAAACTATCCTGAAAGGTAAAAAAGTTTACTTATCAACTCAAACCCATGCATGCTCATATTTTTCATCTTTTCTTTCCATTCATTTTTCACTAAGTATTATATCCATAAAATTATGGAATTTATTTGATATGAAAACCTTAAAATCTTTGACCTCAGTGTACATATTCATGGATCTCACTAAGAATCTGTCACTCAAAATATGATCAAGTTTTACCAAAATGTTAGCCTTTTAGAGATCTTTTTCTCCACCAGAAGAGAGGGTTAAATTGGAAAAACACCAGGAAATATAATAGGTTGGTTCCTTTTTCTTTTTGGAAGACCTAAGTCACATCAAAAGAAGTTTAGCAATGTTCTTATGTCAAGCTGACAGAACAGTTTCACTAAAGTTTTGAATACGGTTAATGTTTACCAGCCACCAACCATAAAATCAAAAATTTTTCAGTAAAATATCACCCATGCTATGCTAGTTTAGCTTAATGTGGAAGAACTCTAGATGTTACATTAATACCTGAAAATGCACTTAACAAAGATAAAATACCTGAAGATTCACAATTACAATCTTTCCCCCACCACGTAGGCATTTCAGAGGCAAATTGCATGCTGGAGTTATCTGCAAACTGCACAGGGTGGTTATACACGACTGTGAAACCAAAAATGCAACAAAGGAGAAATTGTTTGAATCAGTTATATGTTTTGCCTAATCACCAGAATAATAATGGTGCAACACAAAACAGACAATTTTAGAATAATTCACTCAAATGACTAAGGGTAATTTTGGCACCCCCCAAAAAATAAAGACTAAGGGTAATTTCTTCATTATTTTATTGAGTTGAAGAATATGGATATATAGATATGAATAATTGGGGGGATTATAAAGGAAAACTGAGGTTTTAGATGAAAACATATTTAATAAATAATTATGAACATTTGGAAACCATGACAGTACGATTTGCAATAGTAATGAACAATGACATATTTCCATCAGACTTCAAAAGGAAAAGGAGCTGTAATGAATATATTACACATGAGCACTTGAGCTTGTTGCTTAGAGGGTAAACTGCATGCTCCCTCACCCAAAAGAGATGAGTTTGAATCCCCCCACCCTCTATATTTATCATGGAAACATGAGCTATGGAAATAGAACCTCACCTAGTTCCCAGACATAGTACAATATCAGCCATTCGGCAGTGCTTCTCTGCTGGGTCCATCTCCTTTGGAGGCAAGGCATCCTAAAACATGAAAGCAAGAGAGTAATTCTTAGCCAAGAATTTGGGGTTAACACTCAGAACTTAGACTGCTTTTGTATGAAATCAATAAAAAAAAATGATCAATCTTCCTTTTTATCCATTAATAACAAGGGTTATTGCCTTCATAACATAAACAAATTGATCATTGAAATAATATGATAATAAATATTATACATTTGATAAATCCAAGTAAAAGACAAATTGAAAATATTTAAATACCTCCCAATCAAGAACTGTATCCTTAAGTTTAGCTCCACATTTTACAGTAGAACAACGCCTAGAAGTCTCCTTCAATCCAATAGTTTCCACTTCAAAATCCCTCAAATATCTTCAGAAGTTCAACAGTAGAGATATTTTATTCATAGAAGACAAAGTTGTTCAGATTAAATATAAAAAATTATGAAGAGAAAGAAAGAAAGAAAGAGATGGAGTAAGGAAGCCTTCAAAAATTGATGAAGCATATGAGGATAGGCTAAAATGTAAAAAGAATATTTCTTTTTTGCTGTAAACTGTCTTACTCGACTCCACATGAAGGGCAAGTTTCCATAAAGGAATTCCCATGCAATTCAGCAAGTTTCTCCCTTGGAATCCCAGATCGAAGATGCAGTCCATCAACATTCTAGAAATTTAGAAGTAACAAGTAAAAATTCATCAGCCCAAAATTTTGAAACATGATGTTGCATTTCTAAACAATGAAAACTAGAATAGCATCATTGAACCATATTGAACTCAAACATCTGCACAAAACAGAATGGCTAAAGTATGAGCAAGCCCTACCTGACTAATTACAAACTTTAAAATGCCAGCCCTCTCTAATTGAACCAAAGCCATATGAGTCCGGCCTGGCATTGCACGATGAAAAGGTAGTGATGCTTCAGGTAAGGGTTTGCCTTCACGCTGCAACCAATGAATGAAAATGAGAGAAAATCTAAGCAGGTAACACAATAGAAGGTAAATTCTTCAGAAAATTGAAACTAATTCGTCTGCTTCTGTTTCAACCTTATTTAGACATGGTAGAAAGTATTAAAGCATGCTCTTAATAAATCTATTGTCAGTAGATAATTGAAAAAATGAAAGGACAAATGCAATAAATTTGAGATAACTAATAATAGTGTCAAGTTCCAAATAAATTGTAATAGTCAAAATCCAAGACTAGCTCTCCGTTAAACAATATAGGGGAGGAAGCCATTCTCCTTAAACAAAACAAAAAGAAAAAATCATTGTTTTCACCTGCAATGTCCATATTCCTTTGGGACCTCGAAAATCGGGTATACCACAAGAAGTTGATATTCCTGCACCTGTAAACACCACTAGATGCGTACTCTGCAAGTAGAAACAAAAAATTTAAAGAGGTTCATTGATACAAACTCAAATATTAACAATAACATCACACACCACCAGTTACAGGACAGAATGGCTCAAACCTTCTCTATCATTTTTGCAAGCTGTTCAATCTGCCAATCAAAGAGTAGAACCAATTAGCCAGCATTAGAAAATGAAGTAAGCATATAGAAAAACCGTTACCAAACTCAATCATACATGCAGTACCAAACACAAATTTCAGCCAAAATCATCATAGTCCCAGTAAACCAATCTCTAGTAAACCTTAATGCAAATACCCAGATGACCATATCAAACAGCATCTGAATTTCACACCAATTTCCACCATGCATAAGCATAAAATCCAAGTAATTTATCCAGAGTACCCAAACTCTGATTAATATTTTTTTCTGATTCAGCTCTCTAATTAACCTTAACAACAATCCCAGATAATGGATCATATAAAACAACACATTTGCAATTTAGCACGTAATTTCACCAAATAGAAGCTTAAAACCTAAGTAATGATCCCAGAAAACTACTGCATAAATAATAATCAACAACAAAATATATATAAAAAAAAAAGGGTAAAGGAACATGGGAAACCCTCACCTTCTCTTCCAACACGCGAGATGAGTCAAAGAACTCAGCCATTCCAACTTTACCCACATCTTCTATGTACGAGAGTTTCTCTGCATACCCAAGAGACATGGTCGACTTTCACTCTTTCTCCCGCTTTCTACAACACTTTCCTTCCCTTTCTGGGAAAATTTCTTTCACTTTCTATCTGATCAAACAGAATGTCAAGAGAACAGCTGAGGCCCTTTTCTCTTCTTCTTCCTCTGATTTCGCTCTGGAAAGAAAAGCATTAGAGCTGGAAAGCCTGCGCCTTGCCTGCACACAGGGGAAGGAATTCCTCATTGAACTGTGGAATTACATTAATGCCCATATATTATTACTTTATTTTTTCTGTTTTGAATATTACACCATACTACCAACACCTAAGTAATTAAATCTCATCTCATTAGGAATAAGGAATTTTGAATTCGAATCGTAGGATAGGATAAAATATAAAAAATGATTATTTTTCATTATATAATTAAAAAAAAATACTACAATATCCTCAAATTTAATTTTATTCACATGATTTGCATTTCTTTTTATATTTATTGATAAAAATTTATAATAGTAAAATAATAAAATATCATATAATAAAAATCAAAATGTTTTGATGTTAATAACATGTTGGGGTCAAGAAGAATGGAGGAGAGGGGAGAAAAAAGTATTTTTTATGTAATTAAATTATAACATTTTTAAAGTGTTAATTTGATTAATAAAAAAAAAATTTATCCTTCCCTCTATTTCTTTAACTTAAATATAGGGTAAATATAATTTCAATCCAACCCAAATCATATAATAAATTTAGCTTAAGTGGTAATTGTGTTATAAATATATATATATATATATATTAAAATGTTAAAAAAAAATAAAGTATTTTAGTATTAAAAATATTAAAATGTTTAATCTAAATCACAAAATGAATGAAATATAATATAAATTTCACTTAAATCTTATACATTAAATAATTGAGATTTGATATTCTAACAATTTTAATATTAAAACATTCTTATTTATATTTTTCTAAGATTTAATTTATTTGTGTACAAGGTTTTCTATTTCCACATTTGAGAAAAGATGTCAATTACTTTTATTTTTGTTTTGTCCTGTTTGGTCTTTTGTGAATTAAAGGCATTTGTTATTATTGGAATTAAAATTAATAGCAACACTTTTACTATGTTGGGATGTTGTGATAAGTATTCTTAGCTGGCACTTAGCTTGGTGCTATGAGTTACATTTATACCA